TCTGTTCTCTGATAAAGCACGCTCTTTCAGCCAATCAGAGCGCGTGTTATATGGAAACTTTATTATAAAACATTTTAATGCGTACGCGTGCTAGGATTCAAGAGAATATTTAATGACTTGCTGAAATGTGAATTTCAGTTATATTCAGATGTGTCACGTTGCTTTTCAGCGTTAGGTCATGTTAAAAGTTTATAGTTCTTGTTCATTCTTCTTGAACGTTTGCGATTCGTATAAAACTTCTTTTACTGGATGAAACAACAACATTTAATAGAAACTGAAAGATGAAGAGTCTCAGCGGGGTTTTTCCCGAGCTCTGAACTTTGTACTAATCATGGAAATTGATAGATAAGAAACAAAAATCCCAGAGAATTTATAGTGGATGCAAATTTTCATTGATACAAAAACAAAAATCGACGACCTTATCGGCCATCCTTGTTCGTAAGATCAGTACTATCTATAGCTCTTTTTTGCAGAAATCGAAAGGGAAAATGTCCCAAATTAGGGGTTTGTCCCTTCCGTCATGTCACCAAGAGTTCTGAGAAGTCAAGCGTCACCAATCACGAAACAGACATATCATAGTATGCTAGCTATATTTGTCAGCCGGGTTTTGTTGTAAGAGACCATATTTACCGCCTTTATAACAATTTTTAGAAGGCACAGACAAGTTTCCACTCTCACAGCAGCATATTATTGCAACGTGTTTGACTCGTACAAGAAAAAACCATTACGTCATTTGAAACGGAATTTTCCCGTGAAACGTGTGTTTGCAATAGTTAAGTCATAATGAGAAGCTGTCCTGATTGAGTGCAACATGCAGTAGCACAAAGAAACAAAAGTAAAAAGGTTTTCATCGTTTTCAACGCACATTGGGTAAGTTTTGAGAGTTTGTTTTAAAGTGTTGATTTGAAATTTAATGCTAAGATTCTTCCGAACTAAAAGCGGTACGTACTATAAACAGTGTACATAAAAATCTGTAATCGGGTCGTTTTCACGTGTCGTCATCGAATTCTTAAATCCAAAACTAAAGAGCCACCAAAGTTTTTATCTTCATCAGGCATAAGAGGTACCAAATTTATATCTGTGTTCTACTTTCCAGCTCAAAAACTTCCTTCGTTTGGAAACCAGCGCATTTTGAATTTCAGAATTAATGGCGGTGCTTGACATAAAGCTACGATCGTGTTTGTCGAAAAATATGTTCTCAGCTCGTGATTTTTAGCCATTTAAGACCTTACCGTATTTGGAAAAGTGCTTTTGTAAATGGTGTTGGTTCCATAGCGGCTCCATGCTAGGCTTCGTAAATTTCCGCGGAACATTTCGCGAATATCTCGACTCAGTTGGGAAAGCGCACACCTTACACTTGGAGAATTAACTGTCTTCTTTTTTTATCTTCCACAATATCACAATTTCTTGACTTGACACTGAATGGTTTTTGATTTTATTTCTTTTATTGCGTGAGACCAAACGATCGTTTCTTTACGGCTTGATATTTCTTAATACTAGTATTTCTAGCTTGTTTTACATGTAAAAAGTATGCAAATGTTGACAAACAGGCAGTGACATGTTGAAACCGGGCAAACAGGTCAAATGATCGTGTTTAAATGGCAAGGTTACGTTTCGCGTAATCGTTTGAGCCGCCGGCTGTCAAGGTTGAAACGATTGCTCTTTCTTGAAGTTCGGTTGCGAATCGAATTTGTCGATTCTCATTGTACATATAAACTTTGCGATCAATTGCTTAAAATCCCTGTTTTATTACCCTTTATATAGAATGTTGTAACGCCGTGTGATTTACTAACACAGTCGCACGGAAGCCACTCAAACAGTTCAGAAACTGATAAAAGGAGAGCTGTTTGCTACTGTGACGCTCATGGCGCCAAAAGATCCTGTCCCTACTGTAAACGATGAAGGTTCCGTGTGTTCTGCTGCTACAACACTGGAGTTTGAAGATGCCAATTTGAGAGGTGAGGCCTGAAATATATAAAGGTATATCAGTAAACCCCAAAATTGACACTTTAGAAAAAAAAATTGTTGTTTGATATTTCCGGTTAGATCTCTTTCATACCTGATATTTTTTAAAAACATATTGTACATAAAACCATTGATTCTAAACAAACTTATGAAGGAAAAAAGATTTCTGTACATTAATAACCGGTTATAGATCGTTTTTCACTGTCACGCAATAAGAAAATAAATCAAACACCATCCAGTGGAAAATACTAAAAAATTGTTATGTTATATAAGATAACTAAATAAGACACTTGTCGACGTTTTGGGCCTGTGCGTTTCTCCAAACTTCAGTTATTGTCGAAATGTTTCGTGGTACACCAATATGGCGGTCGGAAAATAGTGTGACAACTCATTTCATTTTATTTCATTTTATTTATTTGCCACTCATCTATTACAACAGTGTGATATATAATAAACAACATTTCAGAGTAGCAGGAGATCCCAGCAAGCTCATACAAGCTTTTCTAAGGAGATCCCCCTATTATATAACATAACTCAACAATAACATTTCATAAGATATGGTGGCCATATAAATCTGTGTCCACAAAACAGCAATAATAAAGATAATGAGTTTAAATTTACCTAATAATCAATATTTTGATTGAGCACGAAAGTTTTCAATTTCTTTCTAAACATCTACAAAGACCTTATATTCTTTAAAACATCTGACAAGGTATTCCAAATCATAGGACCTTTATATTTTATAGAGAATCTTCCATAATTTGTTCTTTTGAATTTCATATGAAATTTTCCAGAAGACCTGGTATAATGTTGATGAATAGTATTATTCAGTGAGAAATAGTTTGAGAAAGCACTAGGCAAGCTT